CTCGCGACCAGCGCCACGCAGTTGATGCCCTGCTCCGCTGCGGGGGGGGGCGAAGGTCACTCAGCCCGATGACCGAGGACCCGCTCCCACGGCTGCCCAGGGTGGGAGCCCGACCCCGCCTCGCAAGCCGCGCGCCGACCCTGGCGGGGGCTCGCGCGGAGGCGGCAGCGGGGGGCCCCAAGCCTGCCCCAGAGCAGCAGCGGCGCGGTCGGCGCAGCAGCGCGTGCCATTGGCGACCACGTCGCCCAGGCGGCGGCAACCGACCCGAGCGCGGCGCTCTTCTAAACCTCTGCTCGGTAGCAGCCGGCATGGCTGCGACACAGGCGGGCCTCTGGCGCGCCCAGCGGCTCGCCAGCCTCGACAATTCGGCGTTCTCCGCCATGGGCGACACTGCGTCCCTCCAGGCCCGGCCCCTGCATTTGCCCGGCGCCAGCTGCTGCGCCCCCCGTCGGTCGGAAAGAACCCGGTCGGCGCGGCACTCGCGCTCCTCCTGCTCCGAGTCCGTCTCCGAGACGCCCCCGTGCGCGGCGATCTCCAGCGGCGGCGGCGGTGACCCTTGCCCCTGCGAGCATCAGCACCAGCTGCAACAGCGGGCGCATTGGCGACCAGCGCAACCGCAGCTACGCGCGCGACGCCGGCATCCGCGGGCCCCCCAGCAGCTTCGCAGCGGCCCCCAGGCAGCGGCAGACGACGCGCGCAACCACGCCCAGCTGCTGGCCTCGGCCTATCCCTGGGTCCGACATTTCGCCGAGCTCGACCAGATCGCTCGCGTCGGGGCGGTTGTGGGCGCCCAGCTGCAAGGCACAGGTCTCGGCAAGGTGACCCCCGACATAGGCGCAGCGTCTTCGAGGGGGCCCCTCCAGGCAACGTCGCAGTCGGCCCGAGGTGGGTCCCCAGATCGTCTCGCATTCGCAGATGGGGCCCGACGCCCTCGCGGGCGGGCCTGCCCTCGACCCGCGGCTGACCCTGCGGTTTTCGTTTGGCCGTGGGGTCCCAGGGCCAACCCTCTCCGGCGGCGGCGGCGGGCCCAGGGGCGCTGGGCGTCGGCCGCGGCGGAACGCCCAGCGCAAGCCTGGCTGGGCCCGAAGACGAGAGCGCCGATCGCGATCGAGATATCCAGACACCCCCCCCCGATCACGAGGCCCAGGCACCCCAGGGCAGCCAGGACAGCCGACGAGACGATCCGGGCATATTCCCCGAACGCAAGACATCAGGCCCAGCGAAGGGTGGGCCCGAGGAGACTTGCCGCAGGGCTGGCGGCAGCGGCGGCGCTTCCCAGGCGGGGGCCACAGCGCGGCAGGCCCCCGCCACGCCCGAACGGCGGCGGCAGGCGCGGGGGGCGGGCCCGCGACTTCCCAGGCGGGCGGTCACCAGGTAGCGGCGGCGGGCCCGGCAGGCGCGTGGGCGAGAGCGCCGGCAACAGGCGGCGCCGCCATCTCCTCGAAGCTGTCCTCCTCGGCGTCGCCCTCGCCCCCCTCGCCCTCGTCGTCGGCCTCCTCGACGGCGAGGTCGGCCGCGCGGCCGTCGTGCTGGACCTCGATATTGCGCGCAGCAAGCTGTTTCGACTCCTCCACCTCGTAGTAGTAATCGCAGTACTCGCGCTGGCACTCGCGCGCAGCCTTGGGCGGACTCGCTGGCCTAGGCGGCAGCGCGCGGCAGCCTCGAGAGGCTGCTGTCCCTCGGGCAACTCCGCGACCATGCCGGCCCCCAGCGCCCGCGCGACTCCCCGAACGAGGTCAGCGGCCAGATGGTCCACGTCATCGCACGCGCAGTCATTCTCGGTTGTCTGGGGGTCACGGCATCCAAAAGGGACGCCGCAGGCGCTGTGCGCGCGCGGGGCCCTGCAGCGGCCCCCGCGGCGACTGCGGGCGGCAGGGCGTCGGGCGCCGGGGCGGCGCCCGCCGCCAGGCGCGGGCCCAGCGGCGCGGACAGCCCGGCGTCGGCCCCTGCGCCCGCGCACCAGCGCAGCGCGGCGGCGAGCGCCAGGACGGCAAGCTAGGCGGCGACCACCATGGCTGCGGCTCCCCGCAGGGGGCTCCCCTACAAGGGGCAGCTCGGCGCGCTGCCGAGCCAAGAAAGCTCGAGCGCGCGCCCCCCTCTCTTCTGCGACCTCCGACCCTTGGAACGCTGCGTTCTAAGCCGGCGCACTGAACTGCCAATTCTGCCGCCATCGCCACCTCGAGGTCCTCTGGGGCGACGCGTGGCATCAGCAACAGGACCGGCCCGCCCAGACCACCAGCGGGAAAGGCCAGGGGGCGAGCGGCCCAGCGGCGCTTCGTGGCCCTCCGGCGACCCTTCATGGACGCGCGGCCTCTAGCCGCAGACCCGGTCTGCCCAGCGGGCAGGACGGGCACAGCGCTCTCCATGCCCTGGACGGACCGGGGCCGACGATGAGTCGAACGGCGAATATGCGTTAGCGGCTGGGCGCCTTCCATGCCAGGAAGTGCCTTGTTCCTGTTCCATTTGCTCATGCACCGAGCAGGTGCATCCTTTCGGGCGCGCCATCCACCCCAGGCGGTGCGCCCTCCATCTCTGCCCTCGAGGCGCGCCATCCATCCCATGCGGCGCGCCCCCCCTCCCTCGCGTCGCCCACTCCCTGGCGGCGCCCCGCCCCCAATACCTGCACGCGCACCGATCAGGCGCACCATCCACCCCAGGCGGTGCGCCCTCCCGCCCTCCCCCACTTGGGGCGCGCCATCCACCCAAGGCGCCCCCGCCCCCCCCCTCCCCCAACGGCGCTTCCCTCCCAGCGGCGCCCTGGCTTTTACACCCGCTCGTGCACCGATCAGCGCGTCCTTTCAGTACCTGGACTCGCCGCTGCCTCCGACTGCCTTGCTGGGGCGTCGCCCGCAGCCCCAGGGCCCTCGCGCGGCGCTCGCACAGCCCGCCTGGGCCCCGGGCGCCTCCCGTCAGCCATGCCCCTGCGCCGGCAGGCCCGCGGCGCGTGCTGCGAGACGCCCAGCTGCCTGCCCGTTTCGGGGGCTGGCGCTTCCGCGCCCGCTGCCGCAAGAGTGGGCGCCGCTTGGGCCTGTGCCACGACTCGGCTGGCGATGGCCTCTGCCAGCACGGCCGCCGCTTCCCTTGAAGCTGCCCCCGCCAGTCGCCCGGGAGCCCAGGATGGCGCCTGCGCCGCCTGCACGAGCGCACCGGCCCGCCTCCCGCCAGTCACGCCCCCGGGTCATCGGGCCTCGGCGCGCGCGCCTCTCTGCCACCCACTCTGCGCGCCCGCGCGGGCTGCCCCGGGGTGGGTGGCGCCCCGGCCTGCGGGCCGAATCTCAGCCAGCGCGGATCCCCCCTCTTTTGGCCTCCCCGTCGCCCGCTGCCCTGCGTCTTTGCCTCCCCGCCAGCCCGCCGGTCGGGTTACTGGGGCTCGCGGTCGCCCCTTCGCCGCCCCCCTCGGCCGCCTCCAGGCCACCGCCGCATTCCTGGTCCCGCCGTCGTGGCCTTGCTGAGTGGACGCGCCATTGCGCCCCCGCCACCCGCTGTGCACCGCTTCCTCCCTGGCCGGCCTTCGGCGAGTTCCATCTCCCCCCATCCGCCTACGGAGGCGTCAGTTGGCAGCACTGCCCAACCCTTTCAGCTCGCCCGTCGCCTTCCTCCGACATGTTGCCGCCTAGGAGTCCGCCGCCCATTGGGACATCATCGGCCTGGCTCCGCACTCTCAGTCGATGTACTTGCCACTCGCGCACTGCAGCCTCTGCCCCAGCCCCTGGGTGTGGCCGCGACGCCGCCCCGTGCCTGCTGCCAGGGGTACAGAGCGCTCTATCTCTCCTTTCCTCCCCCCCACGGCCGCCCTCTCCCCCCTTATGTTCCCTCTGTTGACGCTGGTCAGTTCGCGATGCCGCCACCCCGCTTGCCCGAGCGCGCGTGCGGATTGCTTCTGCCGCGCTGCGACGTACAAATGCTTTCTGGACGTTGCTGAATGCAGTGGGGCCCCACGCGAAGCCCGCTTGGGTTATCGGAGCTTCCAGCACGTTCAGGGTGCGGCGGTGCGGTAGCGTTCTTGGTTTCTTGGCTTGCGCCATGATTGGCAGCGTATCCCAAGCCTCTGGGAACGTCTTCTAGAGGCGTCTGGGGGCGTCGCGAAGCCCTCCTTGGGAGCCCCCTTGATTATTAGGAGGATCTCGAGCCTCGTCTGGTGAATCCGGGGGTTCTCTGGTGGGGTTCTGGCGTCGTTTGGGAAGGGCTTTGGAACTCTCTGGAGTGGGCTGCCTGAGGTCATCCTGGATCACGATGGGGCGGTTTTGGCGTGCCTTGGGCCGTGATGAGTCAATCTGGGAGCGATCTTGATGTGTTTGGGGGGGCCCTTCGGGCTGTCTGAGAGGCCTCCGTGGCCACCCAGGGGTTGCGCGAAGAGGTGCCTGAGGCATCTGCAGGGCTCTTTGAAGGAAGACTACGCGAAGAAAGGAGGAGCGCGGAAAGCATTGAAAGCATCAAGGTTTGGACATACAGTGAGCGGCTTGAATAAGGAACACTTACTTTTCAAAAGGGGCTCGGTCGTTCCTTAGGCTTACATGCGTTAATTACAGTTCCTTATGCGCTATTTGTTACTGATCGTTCCTTATCCGTCATTCCTTGGGATACAAAAGGAGCTTCGTTCCTTATTTATCGTTCCTTAGGTCAGGCCGATGACTGTATGTTGCTTCGTTTTCTTAATGAGGCCGTCGCGGGAAGCCTCCAGGCAGTTCCCTCGGGGCACGTCGGTACCATCCTGGAGGCATTCTGGGTGGCCTCGACTTCTCTTGGGGGCTGAGGGCAGTGGACGAGGGTCTTGGCGGGTCTTGTAGGTAAGTTTGGGCAATGTTGTGACGCGTCTGGGAGGGGGGGGAATCTTGGGGACATCTTGGAATCCTGGTCCATTTGGTGGGCGTTTTGGGCTCAGCATGGGGATGGGGGGGGGGAATTGTCGTGTTGCTTCCTCCTAAACCCACGGTTTCGAGTCCGGCGCGGGGAGATGATCGTGGGGAGCGAGAAATTTGTCACGCTTCATGGCCTAGGAGGGGTCGGTGGATTTGGATGGAGGGTTCGTGCTTTTCTCTGACGTGCACACGGCGAACCAGGAGTGGTTGAATCTATGCCCTTTCGGCGGGGCCGAGTGTCTCGAGTCCGACGATACTGCTGTGGCCCCAGCTGCGGACGAGGGCGCAGGCACTGTTGGCACACCGATGGAGACGTGGGACCGCCGCTTGACGGGGACGAGCTACACATTGTTGGATTTTGGCGAGACGTGTGCGGGCCAGGGCTACGAGGAGGTCAGTGACTCCGTGGCGTGTTTCGGAGCGGCGAAAGACAGCATCGTGGCCTCCGGCGAAACGGTGGGTGTGACTGTGCCCGTGAGCGAAGAATTTTCGTGCGCGTTTGCAAATTCAGCGATTTTCTTCGGGGACGGGAGTGCTGGCGCAGCGGATTCCTCATTGCAGTACATATGCCAAGGGGAGCAGCAGTCTTCTTCGACACGCACAACGGCCACCGTGTCAACGACCGTGTCAACACGCACCCTCATCTACGACCCTACAGCCGTTTCTTACCCTGACAAATGCCAGACATGGTTTTTCCATATCGTTTCTGCCGAGACAAAGTCTGCCAGAAACGAGTTGTGCTTCGACGCGTCCGCCACGATGGTCAGGCTTCCGCAAAACAGGAGCACGGCCAATGTCCTGAATGAGACTGAGACCGAAGAGCTTGGAGCATGCTTCTTCAGCCTTGGGGGCGGCCTCACGTTATTCTACGACGTCGATCTACAATGGGCGTACGAGAAGTGGCTCGACACTTGCGCGGCCCTCACCACATCAACAGCGTCGTCCACTCTGACCTCGAGCACGACTATCTCAGAGACTGTGACGACAACAGAAACTTCTAGCACGACTGTGTCTGCATCTACCGGGACTTCTAGCACGAGTTGGACTACGAACACCGAGACCTCTAGCACAACTGTGTCTCTGACCGACAGCTCTAGCACGAGTTGGACCACGACGACGGAGACGTCCACCGCCACTGGGACTACGATGACTGCAACTTCCAGCACGACCAGGACTACGACCACTGAGACCTCTACTACTAGTGTCTCTACATCCACCAGCATTTCTAGTAAAACTCGGACTACGACCACCGAGACCTCTAGCACGACTTTAACTACGTCCACAGAGAGTTCTACCATGACCTCTAGCACGGGGACCTCTACCACCAGGAGCTCTACCACCGGGAGCTCTACCACGACAAGCGTGACAACGACAACCCCGACCCAGTACGTCTTATTGCCTGTAGGTCTGACGTGCACAGAGGCAGGGTACGAACACGTCGATGACAGAATTGAGTGTTTTGAGAACGCTACTGACTTCTTGAATTTCACGTATGATACGGCGCTGGAAGTTCAGGCCGATTTTGCTTGCGTGCTCCAATATGGTGTCCTTTTGTTCGGCAACGGAATCGCTGGTAGTGCTAGTGAAGACAGGCAGTACATTTGCAAAGGGGAGCAGGACGTCAGCTCTACCTCTACTAAGACGACATCTTCGACAACGACCATTTTGCGATTTGACCCCAATGCCGTGAATGTACCGGACGTTTGCCAAATGTGGTATTTCCATGTCGTCAATACTACGGAAGGAGATGCTGGACTGGGGATTCGACAGCAGGAGTGCTTCGAAGCAGCACAGGTAATGACCACAATTCACCCACAGAGATCGATCAGCCTCCTCCCTGCAGACACTCTCGGAGGTTGTGTTTTTAGCAGAGGCGGTGGGACCATAAATTTCTACGACCAGGACACAGTTCAGGCGTACAATGAATGGCTCGACATTTGCGAAGGCCTTACCACATCCACAGCGTCATCCACTGAGACCAAGACGTTTACCGGGACTTCTGGCACGACCTTGACCACGAGTACTACGACTGCATCCACAATCACAGATAGTTCGAGTACCACTGGAACCTCCAGCGCAACCGCATCAACGACCACCAAGACTTCCAGCACGACTGTGTCTACTACTTCCGAAAGCTCCAGCACGACAGGGTCCACGACGACCTGGACCTCGACTACAACTGCGTCCACGACAACCGAGAGTTCTAGCACGACCAGAACCTCCAGCACGACTAAGTCCACGACAACCGGGACGTCTAGCACGACTAAGTCCACGACGACTGGTACCTCCAGCACGACCAAGACATCTACCATAACTGCGTCTACGTCGACTGGGACTTCTACCTCGACTGGTACTTCGACAACGCGGACCTCAAGCACGACTCTATCCACAACCACTGAGAGTTCGAGCACGACTGGGACTACGACAACCGAGACTTCCAGCACATCCGTGTCATCGACCACCGTATCGTCAACCACCGTGTCATCGACCACCAAGACGTCCAGCACGACTGTATCTACTATCGAAGACGCCTACGGCGAATCACCGCCGCCCCCTGCCTTTTTGGAAACGCCGATGTGGCCGAAAGTTGGACTAGAGCTTGGCCAAGCTATCGGACCATGAGTTCCCCGAGTCGGTTTGGAAAGCTTTCGGGGAACACATGGGAGAGAATGATTATGAACAGGAAGAGGAAGAGGAAGAAATAGAGTAGGAGGATGAGGGTTGTTAGGAGTCTCTTGGGGCACCCTTGGGGTCTGTTGGGGGCTTCTTGGGGGCCTCTTCGAGGCCTCTTGGAGGCATCTTGGGGGCCTCCTTGGGCCTCTTGGGGGCCTTTGGGGGCTTCCTGGGGGTCTCTTTGGCCGTCTTAGGGCGTTCCTGGTCCGTCTGACGCCGTCTGGAGCCGTCTTGGGGGCCTCTCTGGGCCGTCTTGGGGCCCTCTTGGGGCGCTTCAGGGCCGTCTTGGAGGCCATGTTGGGCGTCTTGGAGGCCTCTTGGGCCGTCTTGGGGCGCTCTTGGGGCCGTCTTGGGGGGCCCTTGGGCCGTCATAGGGCCTTCTTGGAGGCCTCTTGGGCGATCTTGGGGGCCTCTTGGGCCGTCGGAAGGCCGAAAAGAAGAAAACGCAAAAAACCTTCAAAAACCTAAGGAAAACCAATGATTTTGGCCTCTTCGGGCTCTCCTGGAGAACGTCTTGGAGGCCTCTTGGGCCATCTTGGAGGCATCTTGGGGCCATCTTGGCCGTCTTGGAGGGCATCTTGGGCCGTCTTGGAGGCATCTTGGAGCCATCTTACCCGTCTTGGAGGCCATCTTGGCCGTCTGGGAGGCATCTTGGAGGCCATCTTGGGCCATCTTGGCCGTCTTGGAGGCCATCTTGGGCCAAGTTGGGGCAACAAAGGCATTGACAGACGGATTTTGGGAAAATTACGGGTGGCCGGCGGGACGGGCCGAAGCCCACTGGGGAGTTCTTTTAGAAAAAGAACCAAAACCAAAACCTGAAACATCCAGCACGCCGTGCACCCCTGCAAGCAGGGGGCGGCGGATCGAAGACGCCTACGGCGAATCACCGCCGCCCCCTGCCTTTTTGGAAGCGCCTATGTGGCCGAACGTTGAGGCCAGACCTGCCAAGCTATCGGACCACGTGTTCCCCGAATCGGTTTGGAAAGCCTTCGGGGAACACGTGGGCATCTTGAAGGTCATCTTGGCCGTCTTGGAGGCCTCTTGGGCAAGCTTTGGGCGATCTTTGGGGCTTTTTGGGCCGTCTCGGGCCAGCTTCGAGCCAACTTCGGCCATCTTGGTGGGTTCCTGGCACGTCTGAAGCCGTCGGAAGCCGTTTGGGGGGCCTCTATGGGCCGACTTGGGGCCCGCTTGGAATGCTCCAGGGCCGTCTTGGAGGCCATCTTGGGCGTCTGGGAGGCCATCTTGGGCGTGTTGGAGGCCTCTTGGGCCCTCTTGGGGCCCTCTAGGGGCCATCTTGGAGGCCACTTGGGCCATCATGGGGCTCTCTTGGGGGCCTCTTGGGCGATCTTGGGGGCTTCTTGGGCCGTCTTGAGCCGTCGGAGAGCCGAAAAGGCGCAAATGCCAAAATCCTTCAAAAACCAAGGGAAAATCAATGATTTTGGCCTCTTCGGACTCTCCTGGAGGACCTCTTGGAGGCCTCTTGGGCCGTCTGGGAGGCCTCTGGGGGGCCTCTTGGGCCGTCTTGGGCCGTCTTGGACTCTCTTGGGCCGTTTTGGAGGCCGTCTTGGACCATCTCGGGCGGACTTGGAGGCCATCTTGGGCCATCTTCGCGATTTTTTGAGGATGTCCCGAGCGAAACGGCCGTTTTTGGGCATTGACAGACGGATTTTCGGAAACTTGCGGGTGGCCGGCGGGACGGGCCGAAGCCCACTGGGGAGTTCTTTTAGAAAAAGAACCAAAACCAAAACCTGACTCGTCCAGCACGCCGTGCACCCCTGCAAGCAGGGGGCGGCGGATCGAAGACGCCTACGGCGAATCACCGCCGCCCCCTGCCTTTTTGGAAGCGCCTATGTGGCCGAACGTTGAGGCCAGACCTGCCAAGCTATCGGACCACGTGTTCCCCGAATCGGTTTGGAAAGCCTTCGGGGAACACGTGGGCATCTTGAAGGTCATCTTGGCCGTCTTGGAGGCCTCTTGGGCAAGCTTTGGGCGATCTTTGGGGCTTTTTGGGCCGTCTCGGGCCAGCTTCGAGCCAACTTCGGCCATCTTGGTGGGTTCCTGGCACGTCTGAAGCCGTCGGAAGCCGTTTGGGGGGCCTCTATGGGCCGACTTGGGGCCCGCTTGGAATGCTCCAGGGCCGTCTTGGAGGCCATCTTGGGCGTCTTGGAGGCCATCTTGGGCGTGTTGGAGGCCTCTTGGGCCCTCTTGGGGCCCTCTAGGGGCCATCTTGGAGGCCACTTGGGCCATCATGGGGCTCTCTTGGGGGCCTCTTGGGCGATCTTGGGGGCTTCTTGGGCCGTCTTGAGCCGTCGGAGAGCCGAAAAGGCGCAAATGCCAAAATCCTTCAAAAACCAATGGAAAATCAATGATTTTGGCCTCTTCGGACTCTCCTGGAGGACCTCTTGGAGGCCTCTTGGGCCGTCTGGGAGGCCTCTGGGGGGCCTCTTGGGCCGTCTTGGGCCGTCTTGGACTCTCTTGGGCCGTTTTGGAGGCCGTCTTGGACCATCTCGGGCGGACTTGGAGGCCATCTTGGGCCATCTTCGCGATTTTTTGAGGATGTCCCGAGCGAAACGGCCGTTTTTGGGCATTGACAGACGGATTTTCGGCAATTTACGCGTGGCCGGCGGGACGGGCCGAAGCCCACTGGGGAGTTCTTTTAGAAAAAGAACCAAAACCAAAACCTGAAACGTCCAGCACGCCGTGCACCCCTGCAAGCAGGGGGCGGCGGATCTAGTGGCCTTCGGCCCATCCCGCCAGCGTGCCTGGGTTGTGTGTATCAAACCCATTGGATGTTCGTTGGGATCTCGTGGGAGGCCTCTCGGGGGCCTCTTGGAGGCATTTTGAACCCCTCTTGGGGGCGTTTTGGGGGCCTCTTGGGGCCTCTTGGGGGCCTCCTGAGGGCCTCTTGGGGCGGCAGGCTCGGATTGTGGGTTCGTGTTCCTTCTTTGGGGCCCCTTTTGGGGCCGTCTTGGGGCCCTCTTCTCGGTGCCTTCTTGGGCCGTTGTGCGTCCCTCTTGGAGGCCTCTTGGGCTGGTCTTGGGGGGCCCGTCTGGGAGCGTCGGGAAGCCGCCGAAATCTTCAGGACAATCAATATTGTTTGCCTCTTGGGGCCCTCTTGGGAGGTCTCTTGGAGGCCTTCTGGGGCGTCTTGGAGGCCTCATGGGCCGTCTGGGGGCCACCCTGAGCGTCGTGGAGCGATCGTTCGGCGACACGGGGCCCTCTTGGGCCGCCTTCGGGTCCTCTCGGGGCCCTCCTGGCCCGTCTTAGGGCCTCTGAGGCTCAACAAAATTCCGCGCCACCACTTCCCGGGGGGGGACGCGACAAGCGCCAGAGGGGCACGCGGGAAGCCTCGGGAGATGTGAGAGCGAGTGGTCCGGGCCCCTTAAAAGACTCCTCGAGAGTGAGGATTGAGGCTTAGAGGACTGGGCCCAGGACCTGGGGACACGCCCACTCCGCGCCCAGAGGCACGGCGGCGGATTTCCACGAGCTCTAGTACGACTGGGTCCACGGCGACAAGGACCTCTAGTTCAACTGTATCTACAACCACTGGAAGTTCTAGCACGACTGGGTCCACGACCACCGAAACTTCTAGCACCACTGGGTCCACGACCACCGAAAGTTCCAGCACGACTGGATCAACGACAACCCCAACCCATTACGTCCTGTTACCAGCAGGCCAGACGTGTGCTGAAGCGGGGTACTATCCGGTCCCAGACTCGATTGGGTGTTTCTTTAACGCTACTGAGTACTTGAATATGCAATCAGTGACGCTTGTGTCAACAAGTAATGCGTTCGCATGCATACTTCAATTTGGGAGCGTATTGTTCTTTGGCAACGGAGACGACACTGCTTCTCCCAATTGGCAGAACGTCTGCCAGGGTGAGGAGCAGACTACTTCAACGAGTACTTCTATGACAACAAGCACTTCCGTGACAACCTCAACCCAGCGATATGACCCAGCAAAATTGTTGTACCCAGACGTTTGCCAGATGTGGTTTTTTTATGTCGCAAATGCTAGCACTCTAATCGATCGACAAGACGAGTGTTCCGACGTGGCCGCAGAAATTACCTCAATCAAGCGATACACTGTATTCGACGAAGTACGGGTTGGACCGAAGTACGTCGACGTGTCAGTGTCTGACGAAGGCCTCGCAGGCTGCGTGTTCGATTTGGGTGGTGAAACCATTTCTTTTTACGACTCGACGGTTGACGCGCCAGCGTCTCAAAATTTGAACCCAGTGAGACAGGCGTACGAGTCTTGGCTCGACATTTGCGACGGCCTTACCACATCCACTGAGTCGTCCACTGAGACAAGGACTTTCACCGCCACTACAAAAACCGAGTCTTCGAGCACGACAGAAACAACGACGACCGAGACCTCTAGCACGACGGTGTCCACAGCGACCGAGAGTTCTAGCACGAGTGGGACTACGACAACTGAGACCTCCAGTACAACTGCGTCAACGACCACCAAGACCTCCAGCACAACTGAATCTACGACAACAGGGAGCTCCAGCACGACTCTGTCCACATCAACCAGGACCTCCAGCACAACCGTGTCTACAACTACTGGGAGTTCTAGCACGACTCGGACTACGACTACCGCAACTTCCAGCACAACTGTGTCAACGACCTCCTGGAGTTCTAGCACGACTGGGTCCACAACGACTGGTACCTCCAGCACGACCAGGACGTCTAGCACGACTGGGACCACGACGACTGGAACTTCTGCCACGACTGTGTCGACATCCACCAGGACCTCGAGTACGACGGTGTCTACCACCACCGAGACGTCCAGTACGACTGAGACAACGACGACCCAGACTTCTAGCACGACGAAGACCACGACTACTGAGAGTTCTAGCACCACTGGGTCTACCTTCACTGGGACCTCCACAACTACCAGGAGTTCTAGCACGACAGTGTCGTCATCCACCAGGACATCTAGCACGACTGCGTCCACAACTACGGGAAGTTCTAGCACGACTGGGACAACGGTTACAGCAACTTCGAGCACGACCAGGAGTTCCACAACGACGCTCACGACGAACACCGCAACTTCTAGCACAACTCTGTCCACGACCACCGAGACCTCTAGCACGACTGAGACCACGACGACTGTGACATCCAGCACCACAGAGACTACGGTTACCGAAACTTCTAGCACGACTGTGTCTACAACTACTGAGAGTTCCACAACGACGATCACTTCGTCAACCATGACCTCTAGTTCAACTGCGTCCACCACCACCGAAACCTCCAGCACGACTGAGACCACGACGACCGGGAGCTCCACCGTGTCTTCTTCATCTGGGACCTCAACGACATCGTTCGCCACCACTTCAGCTACAAGTACCAGTTCGGCCACAAGCACTTCGACCGCGACCACAACCATCACATCGACCTTCACTCCAGAGCGCTGGTCCGAGATCCGCTGCACCATCGGGCTTTCATTCACCGACAACGTCACCACTGAGAGAGTAGAGAACATTACTCGGACAGTTCTTGCGAAATATTTGAACGCTTCGCAGTCGTTGATCACCATCGACTCTATTGAAGAAGGAGTCGATACTGATGTATCTGGCAGTGGCAGATTGTTGACCAACGCTCAGAGCAGTTCCAGGCTGCTTTCTGCCACGTTCAACTTCGCGATGGTCTACATACTCCTCATTGCGGGCCTGGACGCGACAACAGAAGCTCAGCTCTTGACCGATCTATTCAACGACTCTAGCGTACTCGATTCGACACTCGCGGAGGTGATGGCGAGTTCAAATTTGGGAAACCTAACTGTTTTTTACGCGACCGAACCAGATGTTATTTTGTGGTTGTACACAACGGCGACCCTTACGTCGACGACAGCCACGTCCACGACATGTTGCGTGTGCAATCTTCCTATCGTCTCCGACGTGCCTGTGGGACTTTGGGAGGATGTGACTGACAACGTATCGGCCAGGCCAGACTTGATCCGTATCGAATGCATGGGCATCAGTTGGTTCGACACGTGTAATCCCAAGTGTGGTCCTGGATATGTTGAAGCAGAGCAAATGGTTTGCACGAACCTGTCAGAAGAAGACAAGATGGTACCCTCGACGTTCAACGGAACAGCCAGGTGCGAGAGAGACGTCTGTCTGGGCAGCCCGTTCAACGGAACGGTCCCGATTGGCTATGAGCCGCCAGATCAGAATTGCACAGACATGCTCTACCAGGGAAGGTGCAATGTCTCATGTTCCGACGGTTACACAGACAACGGAATTACAGTCCAACTCGAGTGCCAGGCCACGACGATTTGGCCAGACGCGGGGCCAGTAGAGTACGGTTTTGCAAATGGTTCGGGCCGTTGCACCGAGTTGACTTGCGACGCGGACTCGGTGCCAAACATGTTGAACGTGATAGATAGTTCTGCTTGCGTCGGCACTGCAAGCCGCGCGGGCTGCTCGCCTGTATGCAACGAGTCATACGAATTGGTCGACACAGTCAATTGTACCAAAGGCCAGTTCGACGAGATACCGTTGGTTTGCATACCGTCCGAGCACGCCGAGGTGCTCGAGCTTGTAGAGGTCCTGCACATCCCGATGGCCATCGCCAGTGACGATCCTGGCTCTGCTGAGGGCCTTACTGCAGTTTGGGCAGACGTACCTTCAAGCAGAGCAGCTATCGAGGGTTCCATTGGCAACATATTAGGCGTGCTTCCAGGTCAGATCTTCGTCAAAGGAATCAAGGACCTGAATTCAGATTGGAGTTCTGCCGCTCCGCCAGCTGCGAGGCGATTGGCGACGCTGCAAGGGCTCTTCTTCGAAGTCGTGATCCAGCCAACTGAACTCGTCAACCTGTCAACACTGAACGAAAGCATCAGCAGTCTAGGCGGGAGCCACTTCATCGACGAGCTCACGGGCGCCCTGCAGGACGCTGGTGTCAGCGAGCCGCCGGGCCTCGCGACGGCCACGTTCATCGTCGGGCCGATCGAATACGCGACCTTCACTCTTCCCGTTGCGCGGTGGATTGCCCGCACAGCATGGTCGCTGTGCAACAACATGTGTGGCGTGGGAGCACACACCCGTGTTGTAGAGTGCGTGGGGGCGTGGGGGAGCAACGCCACCGACTTGTGCAACGCAAATGCTGGGCCAGGATTCACTATGGAGTCGTATATGCCCGCCTCTAAGCCTTGCGAGCAGTACATCTCGTGCAGCTACGACTGGAGCTGCCCCAGCGGCCCTGATCCCGTAACGGGCGAGGGCTGCGAGGCACAAGCATCGGCCGTGGCAGTTGCGCTCGCTGTCACGTTCCTCTGCTGTGCGTGCTTGCTCGGCCAGTTCCTTCGGAAATGGTGGTTGGCTCGGTCCGACCAAAAAACAACAAACATTGAGTGGACGAGGGAGGAGGTAATCACCGAAAAGCTCAGCGCACATTCTGGCATGCAGGGCTCCGCCGTTTTGATACCTAAAGGAGGCCGCGGCGACCCGATTGGGCCAGTGGATTTGGATTTCAGCGGCGCGGCGGAATTTGAGCTTCGGATGGAGGTGACTACTACAGCAAAGGATTCGATACTGGTTGGAAAGGTTTACCGGCGCGGTGGCGCGACATTGACGAACAGTGTTAAGGCGAAGGCCCTTCTGGTCAGGCAAGGTTTCCCAGCATGGCAGGTCGGTCAGAATACCATTTATGGAAAAACTTACATTTCCGATGGTGATCGGCATGAAATTTCGATCGCGTATAGTGCAGAACATGATCAGTACATCCTCAAGGTCGACGGCATCGAGGAAGCCCGGGGGCTCCACGGCTTCGCGGACAGTCCCGACACCAGCCTTGTCCTCGGAACCGCGAGCGCGCCGAGGGATGATGCGTTCAACGATCTCTACCCTATCTTCGAACAGCTGCGCAGAGCTGGTGTCGAGGTGTCCCCGCTGGAGGACAGGGCAGAAGAGCCTCTCTTCGACGGCGACATCGACGGCCTCACCTGGAGGGAGCACGAGCGCAGCCGGGACGGGGGCCCGATGGTCTGGTGCGCCTACGACCTGCACATCGTCGGCGCAGAGGCGATCGGCGAGAAGGCGACGCGGCAGGCAACGGCCAAGTCCCTCCAGCTCTTCTACAGGGGCCAGACCGTGGAGTACTGGTCACAGACCGTCCAGACGTGGGTGATGGCGGAGGTCACCGCTGCGGCGGGCCAGTACTACGACGAGGCCTTGAAGCTCCACGCGCTCGGCTTCGACGTGTACGTCGGGGCGGCCTCGCAGTCGTCGCTCGGCGTGAGCATGGCGGACCTGCGCGTGCCTCTCCTGGAGGGCGAGGCCGTGAGCGTCTTCTCCCAGAAGCACGGGGGCTGGTACCCGGCCCGCGTCCAGAGGCCTCGGAGAGCAAGCACCCGCACGGGCACGGGTGTTTCCAGGCGTCCACGCGGAGCTCCCGGATCGGCGTTGGGCCCTCCTCCTCCTCCTCCTCCTCCTCCTCCTCCTCCTCCTCCTCCTCCTCCTCCTCCTCCTCCTCCTCCTCCTCCTCCTCCTCCTCCTCCCCCTCCCCCCCCCTGGCGCGCTCCGCCCGCGCGATGGGCGAGGGGTGCGGGGATCCAGAGCCGACCCAAGACATCCGCGCGGGCCCCAGGAGCAGTGTGTCCGTGTCGCGTGTGGGCTCGGGGGGGGAAAGGGGGCCCCCCTGAAAAATGGCAAACTCTCGGACATGATGATGAGGATGAGGAGGATGAGGATGAGGATGAGGATGAGGATGAGGATGATGGTGATGAGGATGATGGTGATGAGGATGAGGATGAGGATGAGGATGACGATGAGGATGAGGCTGAGGATGATGAGGATGAGGATGAGGATGATCAGGATGAGGATGATGATTAGGATGATGGTAATAAGGATGATGATGATGATGCTGATGATGATGATGATGATGATGATGATGATGATGATGATGATGATGATGATGATGTATTGCCTTTGCGACGAAGTCGTTCGAGTTTGCTAGACCATCCTTCCTCGTCCTCCTCCTCCTGATCATATTTCTCTTCATCATCCACATCATCCACCTCATCCTCTTCCTCATTCGCATCATACCCATTATCATCCTTGTCCTCTTGATGCAGCATCGTCCTTATCCTGATCCTCTCCCTCCCTATCCTCATCCTTGCCCTCGTTGCCTTCATACCCCTCCTCGTGATCATCGTCATACGCATCATCGTCTTGTTCCTGATCCTCACGTGGCCCCACTTCCTTCCTCCTCCGTCCTCGTCCTCCTCTTCCTCCTGATCCTCCCTCCTCCCGCATCGACATCCTTAGTTATCCTCATGGACCACGTTTCCGTATAAAGACCTCCTCCCTGTCGCCCCCCCAAAACGTGTTGGTAGATGGGCAAGGCGTTTCGCCGGAGATTTCCTCATCATACATGATCTTGAAGCTTGAGAATTGCAACAGCTTCACTGAGGGAAGGCGGGTGGTGTTCGAATTGTGGTTCTCGCCTAAGCGCCGGTCTTGAAATTCTGCAACTCCTTCAAGGGTAGAGGGCATGTGCTTGTCAACATGTGGCACTCGCCTTAACGCCGCGCACATTCGCCTCACAAGCTTGCAACGTCTTCAGGAATGGAGGGTGGATCATGTTCAAAATGTGGCTATCGCATTAGCGCTGTGCACATACGCTGTCAGAGTTGCAACAGCGTCAAAGATGTAGGGGGTATCAGAATGTAATTAACGCTTTAGCGCCGCGAACATTAGTTCTGTAAAGTGTTCAACAGCTTCATGGATGGAGGGTGGTTCCTTTTTACCTAGCAGCGAAGACTGATAGGTTTCTAGTGGGTTCAAAAGAAAGCATCTTGACTCCCCAGGTGGGTCTGGGCGGGTGCCGGGAGAAGCCGGGGAACCCGGGGACTCCCCAGGATTCTTATAGATTCTTATCGTTTCCTATGGATTCCTACTGATTCTGTTCCCAGAACGCCATTCCCAGGCCACATGTTGAATGCCCGGAGCCAACTGTAGGCCACTTGGTGTTCTTCGTGTTCCCAGAACACCATTCCCAGGCCACACTTTGAATGCCTGGAGCCAACTATAGGCCACTTCGTGTTTTTCGTGTTCCCAGAACACCATTCCTATACCATATTTTGATTGCCCGGAGCCAACCGTGGGCCACTTCGTGATCTTCTTGTTTTCCAGAACACCAGTCCTGTGCCATATTTTGAATGCCCGAGCTGCGACAGGCTGAGGCCGAGGCAAGCTGAGGCCGAGGCAGGCTGACGCTGAGGCTGAGGCACGCCGAGGCAGGCTGAGGCTGAGGCTGAGGCTGAGGCTGAGGCTGAGGCTGAGGCTGAGGCTGAGGCTGAGGCTGACGCAGGCTGAGGCTGAGGCGAGGCAGGCTGAGGCTGAGGCTGAGGCAGGCTGAGGCTGAGGCAGGCTGAGAGGCTGAGGCTGAGGCTAGGCTGAGGCTGAGGCTGAGGCAGGCAGGCTGAGGCTGAGAGGCTGAGGCAGGCTGAGGCTGAGGCTGAGGCCGAGGCAGGCTGAGGCTGAGGCCGAGGCAAGCCGAGGCTAAGGCTGAGGCTAAGGCTGATGCTGAGGCAGGCTGAGGCTGAGACAGGCTGAGGCTGAGGCTGAGGCAGGCTGAGGCTGAGGATGAGGCCGAGGCAGGTCGAAGCTGAGACAAGGTGAGGCTGAATGGGGGGGCAGGAAGGGAGGCTGAGGCAGGCTGAGGCCGAGGCAAGCTGAGGCCGAGGCAGGCTGAGGCCGAGGCAGGCTGACGCTGAGGCTGAGGCACGCCGAGGCAGGCTGAGGCTGAGGCTGAGGCTGAGGCTGAGGCTGAGGCTGAGGCTGAGGCTGAGGCAGGCTGAGGCTGAGGCAGGCTGAGGCTGAGGCTGACGCAGGCTAAGGCCGAGGCAGGCTGAGGCTGAGGCTGAGGCAGGCTGGGACTGAGGCCGAGGCAGGCTGAGGCTGAGGCTGAGGCAAGCCGAGGCAGGCTGAGGCTGAGGCTGAAACTGAGGCAGGCTGAGGCATCCGTAGGAATCCATAGGAATCCCTAGGAAGCCTTAGGAATCCGTAGGCATCCTTAGGAATCCGTAGGCATAGTTAAGCATCCTCAGGAATCATTGGGAATCCTTAGGATTCCCTAGGAATCCTTAGGAATCCCTAGGAATCCCTAGGAATCAGGATTCCTAAGGATTTCTAAGGTTTCCTAAGGATCCCTATGGATTCCTAAGTATGCCTAAGGATGCCTTAGGAATCCCTAGGAATCCTTAAGATTCCATTGGATCCTAGGGCCGTTGCCACTGCGACTGTCATTGCGAATGCGACTGCGACTGCGAGAACAGCAGAATTCTACAACTGGATTATCACCTGAATCTTAAGGGGAATGCTTCCAGATATGCTTATACACATCGCTGTTAGGTTGCTTTGCCGGGATATCACGATGTTGCTCTCGCATCAGTGCCACGCACATTCGGAAGTTTGCACCAGCTTCAAGTACTCGCACGGTTGAAGCCCCAGGAATGGTGTTCGAGCACGGTTAAGGATTGCCCGGAAGAAATAGCCACGCTAATTCGCGGTGTTGATGTCCCAGGAGCGATGTTTTGGCACGACTTCGCAATGCGAGGGCGCAACAGTCAAATTCATCCGCGGTGTTGAAGTCCCAGGAGTTTTTGGGCCGATTGAGACATTCAGGTGGCTGTCTTCCAATCGGGGGCGTCCGGAATTGAAAAAAACACGTGTGAATCTATGAAGAGGGAACTTAGAGAGAGGGTGTATTGCAGCATCGTTGACGCGTCTTGGGGTTGTACTGATCATCGGCCTCCTCCGCAACGCCTTGCTGTCGATCCTCACGTCGCCATCCGTTCATCCTCTGTTATCGTCTTCGTCCTCCATTTCCTGACCCGCCATGTTACATCATCCCCCCTCCTTCATCCCACCCTCATCCCTCTCCTCCTCCTCATCCTCCTTTTCATCCTCGCCTCACTCCTCCTCCTTCACCTACTCTTCATCCTGCTTACCTTCCTGCTGCAGCATCGTTGACTCCTTCCCACCCGCCCACCCACCCCTGATCCCTCCCCCACTCTGCCCCCTCCACTCCTCTCCTATGAGATGGGAGGCGGGTGGGGGGGGAGAGGGATGATGATGAGGAGAGGAGGGTGAAGGGAAGTCATAGGAGGAGGAGGGGGTAGAAGAGGAGGGGGAGGAGGAGGAGAGAAGGAGGGTGGAGGAGGTCGAGGAGAATGTTGAGGAGTGGGGCAACTCCTCCTCATCCGCCACCTCTGCCGCCGCCTCCCCCGCCTCCTTCCCATCTTCCTCCTCCCCTCCTGCTCGCACCACGCACCGCCAGCATCTTGAATCATACCCCGCATCATCAACACGACAACCACCCCCAACCATCATCATCACGATCACCACCACCATCAGCAGTATCATCATCCTCAACATCATCAGCATCATCTGCAGCAACATTTTCGTCATCGAAAACAGCATCAGCATCATGAGCGTCGTCAGCATCATCAGCATGATCCTCACCACCAGCATCATAGCACGGTTCACCGTATGCCCCTTATGGGAAGGGAGGGATAGCGGTATAAGATGAAGGAATGGGAGGGCGGCGACGACGAGGAGGGAGAGTGGAAGGGGGATGGGTTGAGGAGTAGTAGCAGGAGTGATGGCGTGGGTGAGGCAGCGGAGGAGGTTGACGTGACAGTCCTCACCGTGTTGCCACGATCAAGTCTCCCGGTCACCCTCGCTATACCAACCATGCTTGTCATCATCCGATCTTTCCTATGGGGGGAAGGAGGGGTGGGAGCGGGGAGATTGACGAGGATGGTGGAGTAGGTTAGAGAGGATGAGGCGGAGCAGGATGGGGAGCGTCCCATCAAAAGATCATCCTCAGCACGGTTCTCCTGTTCACTGATGTCCTCCTCATTCTTACCATCCTGCTCAGTCTGTCAGTCCTCGTTCGTTCCCGCATCCTCATCCTTCCCCATATCCCTCTCCTTCGTCCACCTCCTCCCAATAACCCATCATCGTCCAACCACTCCCTCCTCGTCAGCCTCCCGCGGGAGAGATACAAGGATTATGTTTGAGGCAATGGTGACAAGATCGAGGAGGAGGAGGAGGAGGAGGAGGGGAAAGATAATTCGACGGGACGGGGAGAGAATCCGCAGCCTCCGTTTCTCTTGCTTCCACCCCCCCTCTTCCTCGTATCACACTTCCGCCTTGTCCTATCATATCGCCTCCTCCTCCTCCTCCTCCTCGGCCTCCTCCCCTGGGAAAGGCACGGAGAGGAAGAGGAGGGGCAGGAGCAGGAGGAGGAGGAATTGGAGGAAGAGGACTTGTGCAAGGATGATGAGCAAGAGGAGGGGCGACAGGAGCAGGAGGAGGCGAGAGGTTCCTCAACCTCATCATCATCATCATCATCATCATCATCATCATCATCATCATCATCATCATCATCATCATCATCATCATCATCATCATCATCTTTCTCCTCATCTTCTTCCTCCTCCTACTCATATTGCTCCTCGTCCGCCTCCTACGCCCGAGCCCTTGCTGTTCACTCCTTGTTTACCCCTCCACCTGGTCGTTCTGACCCTCTCTAGCCTCTCCTGTGGCAGTGTGGCCCATTATGCTCAGTAGATTGTTCGTGAATTGCCTCGCTGTCCGTTGTCGCTGTCCGTTGTTTTGAAAGGCAGCGGACTTCATCTTCACAAGCATTGTGTAACTCTGGTCTTCTCTTTTCGGATCGTCTTCCTTCCATTGTCCGCCCCTCTCTTGCTGACCAGTGTCGTTCCTCCTCATCACCCTCATCCGAATCCTACCACTATTCGTATCACTATTCCTCCTCCTCCTGAGCGCCCTCCTTCTCATCCTCCCATAAAGTGATAGAAGGATAGTGGTAGAGGATGATGAGGATGAGAATGGGCAACGATAGATGGAGAGTAGGAAGGAGAAGGAGGAGAAGGATAGCGATGGGGATGGTGACGAGGCGAGTGAGCAGGAGAGAGAAGGAGCTGATAGGAACCCGAAAAATGTTTAGAAGGATTCGCCTTCAGTCTGGTTGGATTGCCGTTGTTGTTTTATTACTCGGTTGTGCAACTCCGTGTGTCCAATGGTCGTTCGTCTTCTGAGGGAGCGACGAGAATAAAGGAAGAGAAGAGGAGGGATGAGGAGGAGGAGGAGGAGGAGGTGAGAGCGCATAGAATAGAGACAGAGAGTGAAAGACGGGTGGGAGAGAGGATGGAAGAGGATGGAAGCAAAAAGGAATAGAGCTGCATTGAAGGGTTACGCCCGCTGTCAGTTTGCAGGGGGGGCCCTTTTCCCCCAAAGCCCGCATGTGTTGTTCTCCTAAGGTCGGGGCACGCTACCGACCCAAAGCGCGGATACGACATCAAGCTTGAGGATGTGATGGTGCCGTACAACAGGGATGGGGAAGAGGTGATGACGTTTTTTAAGTCCGAGTTGCAGAAGGACCTTGCCAGGTACAAGGGCATGCCTGGACAGGACGACGACGAGCCCGTACTGAAGAACATGACCCCTAAGCGCCTGAGGAGGCGCTTCAACAAAGGAGAGCGCGTCCTCCTCTACCAGGATGCCAACAAAGGCCTCGTGGAGGCCGAGGTCCTCCAGGAGGAGGCACAACACAAGCCGGCGACAGAAAGCGTCGTTGTCGGGACGGAGGCGCACCACGACGGCAAGCTGTCCAACAACCAGAGCCCCGAGCGAGAGCTCGCTGGTGGCCGCAGCCTGTCGCCTCGAGGCAAGACCAGCAGCAACGACGAAAGCGCGCAAAGGAAGGCGAGGCGGTATAATTTCAGCGATCAGCGCCACGCAATAGTCGTTGTGAGGTGCATCCAGTCCCAGGAGAGAGTGAAGGTGCCAGAGTACGCTCTGCGCAGGCTTGTCTCGTCGGGCAACGAGGATACCCCGTCCAGGCGGAGGCCACCTAGCGGCACAGGGCCACCGAAGGGAGTCACAAATGATTCCTTTCACAAGGAGGATGCCTTCGACGTCTGA